CTTGTTCATTAAACGATCATCGAAAGGTAACCTCATTATTCAAATTTAAGTCAATGATATTATATTTGGTAGTGCTAACCCTCTCATATGCAAGGAATTTTCAAATCTTATGCAAAGCGAATTCGAAATGAGTATGATGGGTGAGCTCACGTTCTTCCTTGGACTACAAATTCAACAATTTGAAGAAGGAACCTTCATATGTCAGACCAAATACACAAAAGAGCTGATTCAAAAATTTGGTATGAGCAATGCAAAATCAATTGGCACACCAATGAGCACTTCCACAAATCTAGACAAAGATGAACAGGGTATTCCTGTTGATGAAACTAAATATCGTGGAATGATTGGATCACTGCTGTATCTGACAGCAAGTCGACCAGATATTATGTTCAGCGATGTGCCAGGTTTCAGTCAGCTCCCAAGGAATCATATTTGACTGCCATAAAAAGAATCATTCGATATCTCATTGGGACTGTATCTCATGGAATATGGTACACTCGCTCTAACTCTTTTAAGTTAGAAGGTTTTTCAGATGCTGACCTTGCAGATGACAAGGATGATAGAAAAAGCACAAGTGGTACATGTCAATTACTGGGAAAGGCATTGATATCCTGGAACAGTAAAAAAAAGCATCAGTCACATTGTCTACTACTAAAGCTGAATACATTGTTATTGGACAATGCTGGGCACTACTACTGTGGATGTCTCATCAATTGGGTGACTATGAACTTTCGTTTAAGCCTATACAAATTTTTTGTGACAACTCTAGTGCTATTTGTCTTTCCAAAAATCCTGTGCATTATTCTAGAGCAAAACATATAGATATTAAGCATCATTTTATTAGAGATCATGTTTTTAAGAGAGACATAGAAATATCTTTTGTTGGAACCACTGATCAATTAACTGATATTTTTACTAAACCTTTATTAGAAGAGAGATTTTGTGATTTAAGAAATTTACTTGGTATTATTTGCATTACTAATAACCCTTAGGACCTATGTGCACTGTTAATTTTTTTTTGCAATAATTGTCCTTTACCCATGCATTAATTACGCCTCCGTTTTTCCTCTCTTTTCTCTTCTTTCACATCAGTTCGTCGTTCAAAGTTGGAAAGTCAGTCATCACGTCTCTTCAACTGACAACTTTTCCTTTTATGTACTCAACCGTCAGAAACCCTCTTCTTAAGGAAGAGAACCCTTTTCAATCACTCTCATCTCTATCTCTTCTCCAAAAGTTCCGATCAAACCCCTTCTCTACAATGGCCAAATATCCCAGAAATCCCTCTGCTTCCACTAGAAAAAGCACCTGTTCCAAAGCAAAACCCCATTCTATGCCCCCAGAACAAGTAGACCTAGGGTCCGATCACTCTGAGGCTTTCGCCTCTTCTCAGGGAAATTTCTCTGAACACTCACAACTCCTAGGAGAAAAAGTTTTAGGTAAGCGACCCATGGAAGAACCCCCTGTTTCGTCCACCCCAAAGAAATCCAAGGTTGATTTCTCTGCCTCTCTTGAATCTGACCTCAATTTCTGGGATTCCCCAAATAAGGATTTCTTCATTGCCGTGAAAGACAAGCCCATTGCTCATGGAAGGGTTGTCGACCTTGACGACATGGAAGCTCTCAATTGCAAGGTCAACGACCTTTTCGTTCATCAAGGTTGGGCTAAGTTCTTCTCTATTCCTCCGCCTAAGGTATATGAACCCTTGGTAAAAATGTTTTATGCAAATCTTCGTTTTAGTAAACTAGAAAGGTTGGAATTTCTAGTGTTAGGTAAGCGCATTGTTCTTGACTATGCCCTGTTTGATTCGCTCTTTCGGTGTCGTTGTTCTGGTTTTCCTATGCTGTTTAAAAACACCTGGTGTGATGACTTTGAAATTTCCTTTGACCAAGCCAAACAGTGTATTGCTGAGTGTCCTTCTGACTCCCTTCCAAACCAGTTAGGTCCCAGTGAAGTTAGTTTTGAAACTCGGGTTCTGGCCCACATTGTAGCAACTACTTTGCTTCCCCGTATTGGTTCCTTTTCAACCTTCTCTCAAAGAGACACCTTCTTCGTCTATTGCCTCGTGACCAAACTCAAACTCAAGCTTTCCTCCTGGGTTATCAATTTCATAATCGAGAGTGCTGAAGATCCTACTAGTCTACCCTATAGCATGGCAATCACTCACATTCTGGAAGCTCATCATATTTCCCTGTCCAACTATCCCTTCATCACTATCTCTAAGTCCTACAATTCTAGAGCCTTTGCCAGTATGGGATATGTGAGTGAAAAAGGCTCCTGGGTTAAGAAGGACGATAGTGAAGCAAAGCATGCTCCTGTAGAGCCCAAAGCTTCACCCTCTGTCCCTCATCCCAGTCTTGACAGTCCCGATCTTGGCGAAAAGCTTCGTGCTATTGACTCTCAACTCTCTGAAATCAAAAATCTTCTCACAACCACTCAGTCTACTGTGGGTGACATTCATGCGATTTCCAAGGAAACAGGGTCTGATGTGTCCAGAATTAGAGTTGCAGTTCTCAGAGTTAGGTAGAATGCTGTCAAAGCCTTCAGGGAAATTCATGAATGGTTGGATGGAGTGAGCATCTCAGCCAATGCAAGCTTTGAACAGTTAAAGGAGGCCATCTGCAACACCCTTACTTATTTTCTACGCCGTTAGTGTGGATGTTTTAAGACAATTTCTTTTGCTCTGCTGGTTTTGGGTTGTGTTTTCAGCCTTTGGATAATTTTTATTTTTTTGCTGTGCTGTTTTTGTGGGCCGTTTTCCCAGCCGTTGGATGATTACTATAACTTTTCTGCTTCAATGCTATCTATTCTGTTTAGTTCTTGTCTTGTTCCCTCTTTGCTGATGCCAAAAAGGGGGAGAAGGAGTATATGTTCTATCTGTACAGGTAAAGCTTGCAGCAGAACTCGTCTCTATCTCAGACTAGTCAACTGCATACATTGAGGGGGAGTATCATTGTCACGCCCCGAACCTGGGCCTGGACGTAACACGGCACTCGGTGCCTGACTACATGTGACCGAGCGAATCAACTGGCTGGTTGAATCAACATGTGGTATCATAACATATTGAATGCGGAAGATAAACTAACACATGCTGATATACTGAAAGTCTGGATGATATAAATCAAAGTACGGAAATGCTAATACAATGCCTGAAATGTATTTGTAGCAAATATAGCTAAGAAGATACTACAAGGCTGCTGTTACTCTAGTCTATGAAGCCCTAAGAAAAGAAATCAATCAACAAAGATTACAATGACAGGCCGTAAAGTAATGATAACTAAGGAAAGAATCCAATCATCCAATCAATCAGCAAAGAGTAACGACCAGCTGCGATGGAGAGAATCAAGCAACCCTAAACTTAAGGAACGAATCAAGGCCAACATCCCGGAAGATCGAAGATTATGTAAAGATTGGTACGCGACTAATTTCGGAAGAACCAACAATCAAGGAGCAAGTCTTCATTACATACATCTGCTGAAGGAAGGAAATCAAGGAAAAGCAACGGCCAGCTATCTTATTCTTGGAAAGAATCAATCTCTTTCCAATGATCAAATCTCTTGGGTTGTCAAGCCTCGACCTTCATCAAAGTATTTATACCCAGCCTTAAACCCTAGCCAGATATACTTTGATCGAACCAAAAACCACTCTCTTTATTCTACTGCAAACAAACATTGTAGTTCACTAAGATCTGCTGTGTAACAAGTCAGAGAAAAAAAAGGAGAGTATAACACCGGTGAGGCATTGTATCAAAAAGAAACGAGTGAATAGAGAAACGGTGTTGTCAATTCACTTCAACTGTACTCGGAGAAACACATTTACTAAAAGAGAACTCCCTTGCAACCCAAGGGGACTGGACTAGGATTCACATTGAATCCGAACCAGTATAAAATCCTGGTGTCTTTAATTCCTGCATTTACCTTTTGCAATTTACTTTCTGTCATTATAACTGTTAAGTTATTATATCTAGTCGACTACTCAATTAATTAGTCGACTAATAAGTGATTAAGTTTAAATATTTACAATTCACCCCCCTCTTGTACTTTCATATCGGTGGGGCGACAGAGGCACATGTGCGCTTGTCACTTGGCGCGGCCAAGATCACGGGCCATCCGTGGCGCTAGGCGTTGGGAGGCTTGCTAGGACGCTGCGGGGCGCGCCCAAGGGGTCATGGGGCATGGCTGGAAAGCCGTCAATGACATATCACACACCAATAATTTGAAGAATAGACGTACAATATTACAAAGAAAAAGTAGAGTATGAGGTACAATAATTTTTTAAAAAGATGCGATAAAGAGTAATATTGTAATAATGATGCGATCACAACAAATCGATGTGTTACGCAAAAAGGATCTTTTCATCGTTACATAACAACTATTGTATCTAAAATGATAATACTATCCAATACGTAACAACCATCCAAACAAACTTTATAGTTTATGCATTTTCAGTTTTTCATTATCGGCCACCCAACCCATCTAAATATGTGTGAGTTATCGAGAAATTAGTCCTTTTAGCACTACTTGAAGGTAATAAAAGTAGAGCGTGTAAAAGTAGTAAAATGACAGTTTAAAAGAAGAAGAAAAAAACTATTTTAGTATTAAAGAAAGAAAAGACTGGTTTAGTATTAAAGTAATTATTGGTTTTCGTATTTCATTAAACGTATTAACCTTCTTCGTTTTATGGTTTTTTTTTCTTTGTTTTTGCGGTAAAGATTGTGATAAGGTACACATACCATTTATTTTCATGTAACAATGGAGATCAAGAATGGAGTTGAACATCTACAACTTAATAAAACGCGAGGCAGCCAATTTACAAAGATAAATTAAGATGGTTAATTTATCAAGATAAAGGGAAGATAGTTGCCTTCAAATAGAATTTACTCAGTATTCACTATAAGACGAGAGGAGAATCCAATTTACAATACTGAAATAAACATAAGCTATATACCTAAATCTAATGTAGCAACAAAAAAAAAGATTCCTACAAGTGCATACTATGTTCAATTACGTAGGACAAAATGTGGTGGCATTTGGTTTTGCTAATATATTAAAATCCCAGAATTTTCCTTTAGAAGAAACCAAATTCATGTCACATAAAAATTCCCAGGAAAACCATTTCTCAATCATTCGATCAATATCATGTACTAACACATGAGTCCCATTATTCTTCTTGCTTCTTCTAGCTAAAACACTAGCAATATAAATTGCAACCATTCGTCCTTGTGATTCTGGCTTATCCCCATCTGGTCCATCTACAATAACCAAATCCCACTTCAGTTCATAAACTTCCTTAGGAATATTTGTCACAAGTGACATAAATTTGCACCTTTTTGATGAATACATTTGCAAATCTTGTGGGTAGCAATTCTTTTGGTTTCGTCTAGCATGTTTTAAAAGCTCGTATGCATCTCTAGCAACTGTTTGATACTCGATTTTATAAATTCGAGTAGTATTAGAATGATCTGTGGCATTAATAGTCTTGATTTTTTCGGGGTTGTCCTCGAGAAAGACAGTAACTCCACCCTTATTGATGGTTGAAATTTGAGCAGAATATTGTGTTTCAAGCCCGAAAACAAGAATATTACAGGGGGATTTTCGCGATACAAGATTATATAGAAACTTGATTTCTTTCTCTGTGAGAAGATTATGGTGTTGTTCAGTTGGAGACAAGGCAAAAAAAATTGGAGAGGAATATGAAGTAATTACAGAAATCTTGATAAGTCTGAGGATGGAAGCAAATGATAAGATGAAAACAAGAAGTGGGATGATATTTCTTTTTGTAAATTTCATAGCTCTATAATATTTGTGTATAAGGGTCTTTTTAAGACGAGTTTTGGGTGAGAATAGAAGCAAAGGAAAAGCAATTTCAGAGGGGGGCATTATTGTGTTCTTTTCTTATGTTCACTACGTTCTACCTAAAGGGGGGAAACTTATAATAATTTGGGTGACATGTGTTAATTTCCTTTAGATTTTTCTTGAGTGAAGAAGAAGGAATTGTATGGTATTTTCCTTTAGTTTGAAGCGTTTCCTTTTCTTTTTCTTATTTGGTTGTCACAAAATCATTCAATATCTTCAAACTGCTAAGTTGAATATATTTTTTGGTAAATTTTGTAGTGATATTGTTGTGATCAATCATTGTTAATGATAGGTACTCTTTGTTTAAGAAGTTGGATACCCAATTTCGTCTGCTTTTGCATTTTTTTTCTCTTTCTTGGTACTGTTTTTGTCATCGTTTGGTGGACATGAGTGATATTGAAGAAAAACCTACCTATTACTTACTTTTATACTAACAGGCATTTTGTAATGCATGAGTTCTATAATTATTTAAAGGGATTGTTACACCAACAATTGGCCAGATTTAATGTTTATTTTTTCTAGCCGGTATACATAAATTATATATTGATATACATAATTATATATAAATTATACATATATTGTATATCCGCTGATTATTTTTAATTTAAAAGATTAGGCGGGTTGCTACTTGGGTTAATTCGGCAAACAGGTGTCATATAGCACTATCAAGAGAACTAAAACCCTAGTGTCTATTTAAGAACATGGTAATACGGGGTGAGAACATAGTATTGAGTTCCAACCAGACATGGTATTGAGTTCCAACCACTAATTATATACAAAAAATGTAAGTTTAGCATAACTATCTCTATAACATGAAATATTAAAAATGAAAATTTTGTTCAGAATAAGTTCTTGAATTATTAACCAAACGAATACTTTAACAGATTAAGCACCACTTATACTAGTATTTCTATCTATTATCCTATTTCGAAAGAGGGTATCTATAAACTAATGCAGAAATTATGGCATTACTAATCACGGTGTTATCAATCAAAAACAAAATTGATTACGAATTTACGAAACACCTAACTGCTCATGCAAAATTAGTACCAAAATTACATCTTGGAATTATAGGTATCCAACATACCAAAAGTTCCAATTTGGAAACCAATAAAAACAACGGAAAAGGCCTAAAAATGTCACTCAACTTTCAGAAATGGCCTATCGATGCCATCCATTAAAAAATTACTGTTTCCATGCCATTGTCGTTAAAGAAATGGCCCATCTATGCCATTATTTGACTAACGGATGGAATTTTTTTTTAAAAAATATTTATAAGACTTGAATATCCACGTGTCCTGTTATTATTTGTCCGAATTAACCCCTGCCCCACTTAATTCTAACCTAGGTTAGGTCCATCTACCCAAACCCAACCCGGTTAAAACAAAACAAATCCCCTTCAGCAAATCCCCTTCTTCTTCCCCAAATCAGCAAACCTAAAACCTCCATTAAATCCAATTTCTCCATTATCATTCTGAAATTGTAACCCTAGCTCTCTAGCATATCATTTCACGTTTCCCCCAACATAACTTTTTATTGTTAAAGAGTTCAAAATGTCTGCTGGGTCAAGCGACTCAATTGACTCAAAGAGGAAGTGTCGTTGTGGATTTGTAGCGCATCATTTTACGGCGACAACTCCTATGAACTGTGGGAGACGTTTTTACAAGTGTCCATTGCCTGAAGTAAGTATAATTTACATAATGCAATTCGGCATTTTTTGTGTAATTTTTATTTTTATTACAGCATAATCATAGATTTTGTTGTATAATTACTTGGTAGAAACAAGGTTGTGGGTATTGGAAATGGGACGATGTTGAATCCCCCCCCCCCCCCCCGAGCTATAATCGTCATTAGCAGTCAAAAGAGAAAATTGGAAGCTTTTGAAATTGAAAAAAATAGGTTGTTGAAGAAGATAGATGATTTAGAAGCTTCTGCTGTTATTGATGCTGCAACGATAACAGAGTTGAGGGAAAGATTAGATGCACTTGAAGCATCTGCTATTGAGGATAACTTGAAGATTGTGGAGTTGAGGGGAAAAGTATTCCGGCAGTCGATTTTCTTGATTTGGTTGTTCGCTTGCCTTATTGTGTTCATGGCAGCATGGGCTACCAAATGATCCATGTAATGATCATTGCTTAGAATTTCAAAAGTTTGGTCTTTTGTTAGGTATATGTTTGTTCTATGTAATTTTGACTTTTTTCCAATCTTCCCGAATCATGTAATAGTCTATGTTGTGAACTTGTTTCCAATCTTCCCGAATCATGTAATAGTCTATATTGTGAACTTGTAATAGCTAGACTTGGTAAAGCAGATATATGACTAAGATGTATTGTATCTCAAGTGCAGATGAGTCAATCTAAAGCTAATGCACAATCATTGTGCAGTTTTGAAGTCGATAGGCTTGCTGAACATTTTATGAATTAGGACTGTTTGGATGGCATGACATAAAACTATACAGAATTGAAGCTAAACAACACTGCAATAACTGGACATAAAACTGCACAGAATTGAAGCTAAACATTGCAATAACTGGACATTAAAACTGCATATAACTGAAGCTAAACAACACTGCAGAGAATTGAACCTAAACAACACTGCAATAACTGGACATAAAACTGCACAGAATTGAAGCTAAACACTGCAATAAATGGACATTAAAACTGCACATAATTGAAACTAAACAACACTGCAAAAACTGGACATAAAAACTGCACATTCAGTAGTGTCAAACTGTATTCACATAGTATTTTGCTTAGCTGAACATTACAAAAAATAGTAGGTTAGCTGCCAGTGCTAATTACAAAAAACAGTACTTTAAACACTCTAGCTGCTACTGCTAATTACAAAAAATAATACTTTAAACAATCTAGCTGCTAGTGCTAATTACAAAAACAGTAAACTAGCTTTCAATCATCTGCTTGTTCTCCTTGGCCCTTCCTTGCCTTCATTTTGTACTTCTTTTTTCTAACTTCTGCTTGATGTTGGCTTGAAGTAATTGCTGGTTTTCCATTCCAAGTAGCATTTGTTGGTGAATAAGGCAGGTTTGTTGGTGTTGCTGCACCTGTTTCATCTCCAGTAAACTGGATCCTTTTTGTACCAGTTGCAATCATCTGTACCTTCCTCATGGCTAGTATTGTGTCATTCTCAGATATAACTACTGGCCTAATTGTTGGGTCTTCATCATCTCCAACATGAGGTCCATAACTGTTGAACTCTTGTGTTCCAGCTTGAGTGTTAAGTACTAACTGTTGTGACTGTTGTGTTCCCACTTCACTTCCAAAGAATGCTTCACCAAACTCGTGTGTTTCATCTTCTGAAGATGTCAATGTGGGGGTATTGTCCACAGCTTTCCCCTTTTTTGAACCAAGTCCAGCCCCACTACCCTGCCAACCAAAGACAATAGTTAGTAAATAATCTACAAAAATTGTAATTATTTCATAAACTACAATAAATATAAATCTTTACCTTGTAACATCCTCTTGCATTATGATTTTCATCACCACACTACCTGCATGTCATTATAATTCCTTCCTTGAACTACTCCACTCACCTTTCCTCTTCAAAGCTTCATCAGCAACCATATTCCTCTTTACTTTGGGTCTTCCAACCATCTTGACAATTTCAGGTGGCTCCATGGCCTGACCAGGCAGAACTTTCCAGAATTGCACCCCTCTAACAGGCTGAATTTTGTACTTGTATGTTAGCAAGTAAGCCTCCTTACTATACCACCAGTGTATTTGTGTCACTGGTTCAATCTTCTCATGCGTCAATGCCTTAATATCATGGGGACAAGGTATTCCAGATAAATCCCACAACCTACAGGTACATCTCTTCTTCTCAAGATTCACTGTATGTTTGTCTTTACCTTCTGTTATTTTATAGCCATTGTCTCCATTAAAGTTCAAAGTGCAAGCATGTGATATTGCCCTATAGTCATGGTATAGTTTCATACACGGTAGACTGAAATTGTCATTCCAGCTCATAGCTTTGCCTTCATAGTCTGCAAGCTTTTCCATTACCTTGATCCTTATGTTCTCCAACATCTTGATAATTGGCATAGTCTGGCATCTAGAATCCATGCATTGAAAGACTCAGTAAAATTATTATCCACCATTAGATTTTTACATTGTGTATCAAAGTAGGCTCTACACCATGCTTTTGGTGGATAGTTGATCAAGTCCCTTGCAGCATCTCTGACATCCCCCCCCCCCAAGCTTCAACAATCGATCTTTAAACTCTTCTTCATAAGTACTCCAAGTACACCACCACATCAACTTCCTCATTTCCCCACTCCTCCATTTTTTTAACCAGTTTGCTTCAACGTGTCTAGCACAATACCTGTGATGAGCATCAGGTAGTACAGAAGAAAAAACAGAAGCAAAAACTATATTGAAAACAGATAAAAACAGAAGAAAAAATAGAAGCAAAAACTATATTGAAAACAGATAAAAACAGAAGAAAAAACAGAAGCAAACACTAAACAGAAATGAAAAAAGCAGAATTAAAAACAGAATTGAAATAACAAATGGTACCTTTTGCATGTTTGATATAAATGTCACTCCAGCCCCATTGTTTAGGTCCGAAGACCTCTCCAAAAGATCAACAAACCAACTTTAGGTCCTGCTTGTTTCCTTGTCAACCACTGCCCAAGCAAGTGGATAGAACTGATTCATAGAATCCTGTCCCATTGCCACCAATAGCTGACCCTTGCATTTTTCCTTCAAGAAAGTACCATTCAAACCAATAAGTGGTCTCACTCCACTTTTGAAGCCTAGATTCAAAGCTTGGAAACATATGTACAATCTCAAGAACCTCCTTTTTCCTTCTTCCAATGCATCCTTTGATATGTTGCTTGCAACATCACTCCCAGGATTAGATAGTCTTAGTTCTTGACCATAGGCTTCAAGCTTGTTATATGCACCCTTGAAACTCCCATCTCACTTCTCAAGGATCATCACCTTAGCCCTTTTAAGCTTAGATCTTGTCACATTAAGCTTAAAATCATTCTCTAATTCCCCTCTCATATCCTTAATAGCATACTTGGGATTGTTTTGTAGTTTATTCTTAAAGTATTGTGCTAATGTCTTTGCATAAGCCCTTGGATTTTTATAACAAGGATTACAATTATGTTCTGCCTTCAAGTTTTTGATACTAAACTCATTGGTCTTTTTACCCTTGAGATAGAACATCTAAAAGGGCATCCAACATCACAAATATATCTAGCCCTAGTAGGATCTGTTTTTTCAATCTTCAAGACATACCCATTAGCAATTGCATAATAGTTCACTACCCTTCTAGCTTCCACAATATCTTTAAATGTCATGCCCTTATCCAACTCCTTAAAGTTCTCCAACCTATCACTCACTACCCTCCTCCTTTGTTTGCTAATAACCTCAAGTCCTTCAGAATCATATTCAACATTAGATGGAGCATCAACATCAAAATCATAGTCCCCAATAACATGCTCATTTTCAGATACTGCTTCAACATCTACATGGAATGTTTCAGTATGGTGCAGAATACTTTGAGTATGGACAGTCGGCTCTAACTCATCTACAGCAAACAAGTTTATGATTTTGAACCTATATACAGAACCTGTAACAAGAGACTATAATGCCCTGATACCATCATCTCCATCAATTATATAGAACCTACCCGACGACCCAGCAACTAAAAATTGTTTCACTTCAATAAACCCTAACTCTTTTGTGAACTCTTCACATAAATCTTTATAAGACAACAAATCTGGGTCAAACCTATTCCACATATGGACCAGCCTCTTATTATACAATACTTCTGGAGAAATTACCCATTCACCCCCATAGTTGAATTACACATCAATTGTGTCAGTCATGCTTCAATGAAGTTCACATGCAAAAGGAAAACAAAGTAGAAAATTGAGGGAATAAATCAGAATTACACATTTTGGCAATTAAAAGTACAAGAATAACAAAACCCTAGAAATACAATTTTTTAGGGGGACCAGCATAGAAAAGAACAAAAATATAAAATTAAACCCCACATGCACAGCATTTGAAAGACAACCCCAAATCAAAGACAAAAACATGTAACCCCACATGCACAGCAATCCCCACATGAACAGAATTTACACCCACCCGATTAAACCCCACCTACCAAATTAAATAAGTTTTTGGATCTACTAACCTTGATAATTACATTAATCTTCGAACAAATTTGAATTT